GATAAACAAGATCTAATGTGGTGTAAGTCCAAACGTTTTTATTTCCACTTCAAATGATCATAAATCAAACCGTACGCTAAACCTTAGTAGTTTCGCACTGAAATATCCTGTAAATTTGCACAAAAACATCATATACATTCATTTGAATATTCAATAAGTGAGAAATCTGCCTTTTCTGTTGAGTCAATAAGATAAGCATTAACAGACTATATGTATCCCACAGACTCCTGCGATCTCACCTTGGACCCAGAAACTGTGAATGGCTACCTCACTCTCTCTGCTGGAGACAAGAAGGCAACGAGTGGATCCTGGGAAAAATATCCCAAAACAGAGAAGAGATTTGATTGGTATCCCCAAGTTCTCTGCAGGGAAGGTCTAAGAGGCTGTCATTACTTTGAAGTAAAGTGGAGCAGTGAAAGTACTAAAGATCTCGGCATAGGCCTTGCATATGAAAGCAATCCAAGAAGGGGAAATCGTAAGTCCACTGGATTTGGGTATAACAATGTTTCCTGGTTCTTTGGAGTCAATGACGATGAGCTACGTGCATGGCATGATTTTAGTAAGATTTGGAAATCTAGTCTTCCTACTGGATGCAACAAAATTGGGGTATATTTGGATTGGCCGGCAGGAACTTTGTCCTTCTACCAAGTCTCCTCTGACACCTTGACCCATCTGTTTACCTTTGAGAACAGATTTACTGAAGCACTTTACCCAGGTTTCTACATCTACGACAAATCCAACTTTGCAATGTTTTGCCCAGTTTAAAGGGAACAGCATGGATTTACATAAATGTGATGCATTTCCACTAAATGCAACAAGTAACAAAATAATAAGTAGTTGATGGCTATAAAGCTAAATGTCTAAGCTAAACAAACTAAATAAGGCTTAAGATATCTTGCAGGCAGTTCATATGATGCACATACAAAGGATAAAAGCACACAATTTAATTTCCATGACATGTTTTTTTTTGTACAAAACCAAAAGAGAAAAAAAACTCAACAATCCAGATGCCAATGATAGATATTTCATTAATTTAGGATACTTTTATGTAGTAATTGATAAGAGATTCCAAAACACTCAGCAAGGATTAAAGCAAGGATTTAAAGAGAAAAAAAGATTGATCTAGATTTAAATGAATTGCATACAGTCATAGTCTCTAGTTTAAAAAGGCAGTCTCTTGTTTTTGTTTTTATTTTTTATCCAGTTCATATATTTTTTAGGTGTATAAAGTAATCATAAGCCAAATAAGGGAAGATGGTACCAGTTAAAAGTTTTAGACCACAGTCTGGGTCATTAACAATTTTTATGGAAAGATGGTAATTTCCCGTGTATTTGAATACTGAAATATTCTATTTCCTAGTTCAAGTTTTAGTTGTGCTGTGGCTATAGACTTATAGAGACATTATGTAAGTTTTGTACAGAAAAATATCTTTTAGATATATATAATAGCCTTTTTTATTTTACCCTTTACAACTAAAACCAGCTGATCAGCAGACTGACACCTCAGCAGTTCTGCATCTCTAAGCCTGTAGCCTATTTGACTAAATTTACATTGGGTTGGAAGTTTGGAGGATGTGACTTCAAGTTGAATGGGTTAACCCTAGCAAACAAAGCGTTATTTTCATGATGGGTTTTGTGAATAATAAGAAGTGACCAGCGCCCAGCTCAACTCAGACACTGATGAAAACTCTAGGTAAGGTGAAAAAACTACTACAAGAACGAGCAGAAGAGTACTGCAGTTCTATTTTTTGGCCACAGGTGGCGGTATTATTGGAAAACTCTGCAGTGCCTGTTTAAAGTCTAGAATTTCATCTTTCATTTGAAGGTGTAGTGACTATTTGTACAAAACCAAAATTCAAAAATAAAAATAAGACTTAAAGGTGATCAAAACAAAAGCTGAATTCAACTCAAATAGCCACCTGTTGCACCGTGGATTCTGGCTTACGTAGTCTAAAAAAGATCAAAAAGGGTCAAAATCCAGTTCTTTGCTTGCTTTATTTTCCGTACAGACAAACAGGTTACAGGCTTCACAGGATTCTTCAATTGCTCTCACTGTGAGTCCTGCACCTGTTTTTTGATTGACTGACTGGTTGAGAGTGAAACCTGTGACTGAAAACTGGTAAAAAAAAAAAAAGAAAATAAAAACATGTATCCCCCGACGTGCATATTGAGCTACCTAAGACCTACCTATTTATACTGTTAAAAACCCACATCACAAGCTACAATTAATTAACTAATTAACTGAATCACAAATGCTATTCTAAATAACAAATCAAACTAAATAATCTAAATTCTGAGATTTAACTAAAGATGGAGAAATACCTCCCACAGAGGGTATCAATATTAAAATTATATGAAGGGTGTAGGACTTACATCTCCGTACCATGTAATACCCTGTTTTTAAATGGCTTGAAAGGAAATTAACATTTAATTCATCTGTTGTTGTTTTAGTGTTGTGTCTCTTATTTTATATTTGCAGCTTTAACTGTATACTGCTGTGGCTGTCATGATGCGATGGTTTTACTAGCCCAAATGCAGACTCACAGACACAGAGGGAGGATTAAAAGTCCAGTAATTTATTGGAACTGGTTGACAGATTTACAGAGTGGAGCTCCTCCACAGCTAATACAGGGAAAGCTCCTAATCAGCTGATAGGGAACAGCTGTCAACACTGAACCCAAGCTCCCCAAGAATAGATCCGCGGCGCCCTCTGGTGGGCAAAGTCCCGGATCCTGACAGTACCCCCACCCCCACAAGGGCGGATTCCAAACGCCCCAAGGAAAAAAAACAAAAAAAAAAACAACTCGCCCATGGAGGGCGAAGGGCGAACCAGGGATGCCAGAAAAAGTCTCAGGTGGCCGGCCATGAAACCGGCAGCAGAGCAGAGTCTCAGAAGCTGCAGCAGGGGCCTTCCAGAGCAGAGGAAGCCGCCGACTGCGGCTTCGCATCTGGAACAGAGGAAGCCACCGACTGTGGCTCCACCTCAGGAACAGAGGGAACCACCGATTGTGGCTCCACCTCAGGAACAGAGGGAACGACCGATTGTGGCTCCA